CTCACTAGACAAACACGTTGGAAGAAATAACCCATAACTTTCATAGATCTCAGTTCTACTCTAAGCTGGATGTTATGAAGGGATTTTGAAGTGTAGAGCTTGATGAAGATAGTCAACTTTTGACAACATTCCGTACGCCCATGGGAAGGTATTGTTATCAAAGACTACCCTTTGTACTCAATGTCAGCCAAGACATCTTTGAAGAGAAAATCGATCAGATCATTGAGAACTCCCCTGGAACAGTCAGTATCCGTGACGATATCCTAGTCTATGGCAAAACAGAAAAGGAACACGATTACAATCTCACACAGCTTATGAACAAAGCTAAGAAAAATGGTTTGTATTCAACAGCCAGAAATGTCTGATCAAACAAAAAGAAATCTGTTTCTTTGGAATGATATTCACTACAGAAGGAGTGAAGCCAGATCCTAAAAAAGTTGAAGACATTCATGTTTGATCTCACCATTCATCAACAACCTGTCTGCAAAATCAGAACCCCTAAGAAAGTTACTCCAACTGGACATACCTTTCGAGTGGTCTTAAGATTATGAACACATATTCAACGACATGAAAGCCATGATATCAAAAGAAGCATGTCTAAAATACTATGACATGGAAGCACCAACATATCTGATGGTTGACGCAAGTCTGAGAGGACTTGGTGCTGTCATTCTACAACCAGAGAAATCAGAATCTTGATATCCTGGAACACTACACCCAATTGCTTATGCAAGCAAATCTCTAACATCTGGAGAAACAAAACTGGCCAACATTGAGAGAGAAATGTTAGCAGCCCGATTCGGAGTGAAAAGGTTCCACACTTACCTCAACGGTAGACCCTTCACCATACTCTCCATCACAAACCTCTCGAAATGATCACAAAGAAACCGCTCTCATCAGCACCATCTGCAAGCATTGTTTCTGAAAATGCAAGGATATGACTACCAGATAAAGTATATCCCAGGTACAGAAGTCGGACTAGCTGATTACCAAACGCATTAAAAACAGATTCATTTAAACCTGACATTCAGATTGACACAACTAAATTCACAGAACACAAGCAAACTGAACTTAGACAGGACACAGCAAGAGACCCTATCATCAACAGTTAGAAGGAAATTATTTATCAAAGGATGGCCTGAGACAATCAAAGAAGTTCTTTCGAATATCCGACCTTATTGGTCCTTGAGGGATGAATTTTCAATTGACAATGGACTGGTATTCAAAGGAGAAAGAATGGTTAATTCCAGAAAACCAAAGATCAGAAATCCTTCGTAACCTGCACACAAGTCACTTAGGACTTCATAAAACAATTCTAAGAGCAAAGTCTGACGTCTTCTAGCCTAACATGAATAAAGACATTGAACAAATGTGTCAGAAATATGAAAGTTGCCAAAAACATGCTTCCAGACTACAGCTGGAAACCCTTATCCAAATGGATATTCCACCACGACCATGGTGTACTATTGGCATCGACATTTTCACTTTCAACAAAGCTGAATATTTGATTATAGCAGACAACTACTTAAAATTTCCTATAGTGGAAGAACTTCCAACACCATGCTCTGCAAAAAAAGTTGCAGAAATATTCAAGAAGTATTGTGCTATGTTCGGAATACCTGAAATTATCAGATCCTATAATGGACCTCATTTTACAGGAACAGCCTTTAACGACTTCACTTGTCAGTGGATCATCAACCATATCACGTCATCACTAAGATATCCAAAATCAAATGGATTTATCGAGAGAGACAAATACAAACAGTGAAAGCCAGCATGAAGAAAGCTCATGAGTGTCAAGAAGATTTACAACTGGACATGCCTAAGAACAACACCCTTCTTACGCCTAAGAACAAAAATGAACAGTCCAGCTGAAATCATGTTTGACAGAAAAGTGAAAGACAATCTCCCATCAAAGGTTCACTATAAGTCTAAACAAAGAGACGAGGTAAATGAAGAACTCACTAAAAGACAAAATATTCAAAAACACCATCATGATAGAACTGCTAAAGACCTTCCACCTTTGTATGTCGGCCAACATGTGACTACCCTCCATCCGGATACAAATCTTTGGAAAAGAGCAACGGTAGAAAAACAACTGAAAGAGCCAAGGAGCTATCTCGTCAGGAAAGATAATGGCAACGTAGTGAGAAGGAACAGAGTACAACTAGAAGAAAATAAATCATCATCACCCGAAACTCAGATTAAGCCAAACAAACGACAACGAAGCGATCGAGAAGGATTTTCTCCGCGATCGCAGGCCGGGCCCCCAAACCCACCTACTCTCACTCTCAGTAAGCCCAAAACCATGGCTCCAAGGACGTCGGGCAATAACAATCACACAAACGCAACATACACAACCAAAAGTGGTCGTGCTGTTAAAGTGCCTGCCAGATTCATAAGGCCAAGTGCAGCGACCGCTAACACCTCCATACTCACACCTCTCTGCAATAAAGACACTAAGTTAATGTTCTTAGAAGAACAATTGATCATATGATCATGAGATCATTATCGATCTGTTTATTTAATTGATGATACACCAATACTACTTCTACTGTGGAAAACGAACTAAACGAATTAACCGAAACATTATAAACAATGTTTTCAAACAAGAGAATTGACATTCGGAAGCACTTACAAGAAGTCCAAGGTCTCATGAACATTCTATAAACATTATATAAACGGTGTATGTGATACGAACGCGATAGTCAATGACCTTGTGTTATACGAGGTGGCTAAATCTGTTGTCAAATCCTACTGCAAGCTTTGCATGAGATTATGTTATTATTGTGGTATTCAATGTTTTGAATGCAGTGATTTTGACATTTGTGAAGTAGACAGTAGACCTTATTTGCGCCATCTCTTTACAGGGGATCTATTAGATCTATACATGTACATGTATGGCGATAATTTGTTTCAAATGTTGAGTTTGCATTATTATAGTTTGAGTAGAGTGAAAGGTCTCTTTTGCTGTTAAAAAGAATCAGGTGTGCACGGAGATTTGAATGTTTGACTCATTGGTATCACAATTGATTAACTGATAAAGTATAAAAAATTTCAAATCTGTCCATCATGTGGATAAACATATCACCTTTTAATATAAAAAAGGGGGATGTAGAGTGTACTAATAGGCAAAATCAGGTTGGCAGTCAATTCGTATAAAATCTGCCCACTAATAAGTCTGTTTGGCGCTTCTTCCGTCTTCCTTATCCGGTCACGAAAATAAACATGTCTTACCCGAATACCTGAGTCGAGTTCAAATCAATGCTCAAAGTAGCATTACAGGGGGTGTAAGTGTTTTACGGCGCTTGGAACTGCATGAGGTCATATGAGCGCGCGTGACATCTCTCTCTCTCTCTCTCTCTCTCTCTCTCTCTCTCTCTCTCTCTCTCTCTTGCGCTTTTTAACTCCCAGTCCCAGTGGAGTGGCCATCAACAACATTAATTCTCCAGCTGAAGCCTGCCCTGTGCATCCTTTTCTAGCTGTCTCCATCCATCTTCCAGAACTGGCGGTCGTATTGTTTTTGCTGTTGATTCTTTTGTAGCTGCTTTTTGTTTTACGGAAAAGGGCTGCTAACCCTTTGCCCAACCGACCTTAGTCGCCTTCTACGACATGCGCGGTACGGATACAGTGGTCCTATTCTTTGCTCCCCTGTCTCTTGGACAGGGCCCTGAGAACCACACGGGTGGTGTGGGACACATTCAGCATCTTTAGTTTGGTGAGAATTGATTTTAAAATTTTGCCCGGGTGGTGGCCGAACCTACTCTTGTCGATTTTGGACCACCAAGGGATCTTTAACGTGCGCAACTTGCACTAGAGAGCGAGAAAGGATATAGGTGAAAGGAGAAAATATTTAGAGAAGAACATTTTCCGTCGTTATCAAGTTTCGAAACCGGGACTTATAATAAGGACTTATTGAATGAGAGGCAAATACGGTAACCTCTAGACAACGAGAGCATCCCTCCCCCGCCCTAAATGTTTGGTTAAAAAAAAGAAAGAGCAAATTACACCACATCACCCCCTAAGTGTAATTTGTTGATTGCTTTATTTTGAGGCACCTAGAGTCACCATGGAGTGCCTCAGTGGCAGTATGCAGATGGTGATGATGATGATGATGATGATGATGATGATGATGATGATGATGATGATGATGATAATGATGATGATTGTCCACAGGAACTGTCCAGGTAGAGTAAGATTAATACCGCCCCCAAATCAATTACATGTACAGGGATAGGCTATTCATGTTCACCATAGCTTTATAGTTTATCAGCTTCTGATTGATAAAACAATCCCAAGCAGTAAAAAGTAGAGGAAAGCTTCTAACGAAGGAGGACAATAAATGGATCTACTTTTATGGAAATGTGTCTTACATGTTCAACAACTTTTGTCCAATACACGAAGGCCTACCGAGAATCAGTTGATATGATTTATGAATCTGCCTGGTGACATTTAACCGACATACTGCTAACTCACGTGGCGTTTTCAGGCCAGGTTATGGCACGGGTGACACTGGTTCAGGTCTCCAGCTAAGTTCGTTCATGAACTTGGGTTGTCAGGGGAGTTTTGAAGGCTCACCATCGACTTGATTTTGTTTTATTGAGGGTGAACATTAAATTTGCCGTGTTATCTTTTAACTGTTTTTCAACCAATTTAAGCATACTCCAAAACCGTGCCAAAGTGCTAAAGACAGTCTTGGGCCAGGCAGGGAAGGGGTTAATTATCGTTACATTATTCAAAGGGTTTTGTTAAACCTGTGTCATGAAAAGGAGGTGTTTACCGTACCGTGATCATTGCTATTGTCAGAGCATAATTATACAAGTTTGAGAACAAACAGTAAATGACTGCTGTGACAATCTGTTCATGACCCTTCCTCTGACCACAATAAGCTATGCGAAATGCAAATCATGAGACTGAACGCATGTGACCATTGTATGATTGTATGTGATTTGAAGTGATGATGATTAGGTTATGAGCAGAGCGCTCCGCTAACCCTCATTTGTCTGTCTCCGCGCCTAAAGGCAGGCCGCAGTTCGACGCGCGTTGGAGGTGGGAATAGTGCAGCAACGCAGTGCGGGAGAGAGAGAGAGAGAGAGAGAGAGAGAGAGAGAGAGAGAGAGAGCAGTGGACTGGAGTGTACAGTATTATAAGACAAGGTACATACTGCACCCCGTGAAGCACCTTCCTTCCTAGTGTGCTGACTCAACCGTTATCTAATCTCAGCGTGGAGTGTCATAAAGAAATAATCTTCATTCTTCACTCGACTTCTCATTCGAGTTTCTTTGAACTGACAATAGAGGACGTGTTTTCAAAAGCTTTGAACTGAAGCCTGTGACAAGTTGGAGTACACGTTATTCTGACACGTGAAAAGGAAAGCTAGATCTGTGATTTGGACGAAAGAACAAATACATGTTTATTCGCAACAGCAAAAAAAAACGTTTATAGGTTAAAAGATCCTTACTTTGAGTGATCTAACGACCGTTTCACATTTTTTTAAACGAACCATTCGTAAGGTCCTTTGGCCCTATTCAAACTGATGTTTATTGGACAACGAGCCATTCGTAAATTATTTATCCGCTGTATCATCAGATCTGACTTCGAGGACAGCAAACGACATGAGAACTCTTCGTGATCAAAATCATCAGTGAAGTCAGAAAGTCAGAAATTTCCGCTGGCCAGAGCGAGTGACCGAGAGAACAGTATGGACGGCCTGGAGGACTCCCAGGATGATCTGTCGGCCGATCTGACCACCCCGCTATTGGGCAGTCGGGTGGTCGGTAACAACAACAACTCCCCCTACCGCCCGGGAAGGTAATAAGATAATTGTTTATTGTACATTTTTACACAGATGTGGTTCTAACTATGAGACTGTAAATAATTTGATTAAGAGTTTGATTGGAGAAAAAGAAATCGAATGAGGTAGTGCTGAAAGCCAGCATGGCCGGTCACTTACAAAACAATTATATACATGCAATTAAGTAAGAAGAGACAAATGCAGTTCCTAGAACACTTGTATCGTCGTAAATATCCTGAGCATTTTGCATTCTTTGGGAAAAAAAGAAAGAAAGCAAGAGGCCTGAGTAAACCGAGAAAAACTAAGCTTACTTCAAGAGCTTGAATACCTTGGGACAGACAGACAGACAGACAGACAGACAGACAGACAGACAGACAGACAGACAGACAGATAGACAGACAGACAGACAGACAGACAGACAGAGAACGAGAATAAATGCTATTCTGTCTGTTGAGAACGAACATTTGTTTCTGTCTGTAGCCATTCAAGTTTCAGTTTTATTTTGACCGTTATTATAGTGAGTTTTTATTGTCGCCTAAATTTTTAGTATACGCATTATTGTTGCCAGGCCTGACTAATTTGTCTCCTAGAATTTATTTATACATAGGCTATATAATATACTTATTCCGGTATGTATTCACATGTATTTTTACATATTATCATATTCTACGTACACATCTGTCCGTTATTTTTTATTTCGACATCTCTATTAAGGTAATAGAATCTACGAATTAAGTACTTTTTTAAAAAAATATTAAAATGGAGATACATAGCATACTGAGCACTTTAACTTAAAAAAAAAAAAATGGGAATGCATATCATAATATAAATTATGCTGTTTATTATTATCATGAATTGACACACATGAAAAGACTAGGATTAGGGCCTATACAGGTGTTTGAGATTTTTTAAGAGCAGTGACCCGGAGCACAGAAATGGGTAGGGAACCATGACCGCCACCTGCTATTTCACACTTTGCACTTTCAAAAGAAGAAAACTGTGTAGCCTACACCACGGCGAGACACAATTTATATCATAATTGACAGACATCAGAATCGACAATATACATCATAATTGTCTTGTCAGAGCTGGCTCGGGTTGAGAGGGAACGTATCCAGGCAGACAGATGGGGATACTCGATACAAGTCGATAAAATAATTCCCCTAAGTTGGAGTCGAACTAGCGTCTTCTGTATGAAGGGGTAAGAACCTAACCGTTATACCACAGGCCACGAACACACCACTGGATTGGAAAGCAAGAGATTTTCACTTGTGAGAAGTTCGTACTATGACCTGGAAACACAGAACCAACTGTACATGGCACGGAAATGTGTAATGCCAGTTGTCACTGAAGGTTTTTTAGATCGCACCAAAATGGCCGCAGACCAGGAAATGAACTGATTTGGCATAGAGTTTAGTCAGCCTAGTTCCTGCGTACTGGGCAAATTATTATTGAAACTGAAATCTTTTGAAACAGCCATGCGCCGGGCGTTATGTTCAGTGCACGATTAACCCTTTCTGTGCTGAAGCGTTTCCGTACATTTGTACAGACCGTGTAAAATGTTCATTCAAGAGATGTTTAGACAAGGTCATGGTATAGATCCAGGCCTAATAGTAGCTATATTTCCACAATTTAAGCAACGGCACAATGTCTAATACATCGTCTAAAATATCCTTTGTAAGCCAGTAGAAAAAATATGATGGTGGACCCGTTTGAGAGAACACAAGAGAGTACGTCTTCAAAGCATTGAATAGGCTAATAGAAACCGAATTCTTTTGGTTTGATAAATTGTTGCAACGGGTATGTGTAGTACAGCAGTATGTGTGCACAAATAAAAATATGCACTCAATAAAGCATTAATTATACAGTACGCAGTAGCTGCAGACTGTTACAGTGAAGAGGGTGAGGTAGGCTGACAAAATGAGTTACTTCTCGCAATTTATGAAAGGAAATATCAGCCAAAAATCATCATAAATGTCAAAGTTCTAGATTTTCAACAGGTGTCATTTGATTCAATTTCAAGTTTACTTTTTCATTTATCATTTCATACTAGGCTCATAAATAGTACGAACCCAATCTGAGTATTAATAATTCATTGTACTTGGGACAGCCAAAGCCTGTTACTATATCTCGTAGACTTCTATTCAGTATTCGGTTACTGGATGAATTAGTGCAACGGATGTGTGTAGTACAAATAGTCCATATTTTTTAATGTGCTGAAAATATGCAGTCAATAAAATTCTAAAACTGGTTAGTCGCATTAATCGTTAGTGGATACATTCAGTACACTGTTACAAGGGAAATGATTGAGACGATGTGATAGTGTGGTCAGTAAAAACGTAAAGTGCCCGGTTGCATGGGAAGTGACTGAAACTATATAAATGGTGTCCAAAAGAAACTTGAAAATGTAATCACCCAGTCATCGTGTTATAAGCTTACCCTACCCGCTCACGCAGCATACCAATTTAAAACTGAATAAATTCTGCATCATCTGACACATCAAAATCTCATCTATGTTAAGAGACGCTCGGGACATGGTCACTCAAAATTGACCTTTAAAAAGACATGGCAAAATTGTGCGCAGTCAGAACAATGCAAAAGTGAGTTCGTACGTATATTGAATTGCATCAACAATGGTGGAATGGATATGTATTGAATATCAAATGAAAAGAGAATGTTATTGTCTCTACAATGAACAGCATCTTCTGATTATATTTTCAAACAGATTGGTGAACAGACCTGCTACAAATACCACAAAAAACCTGGACTTAACATAACATGTGCTCTTTAGTATTAATTTTGATTTATTTTGTTTAGGAGCCAAACGTTTTGTGTCGATCACGAAACTTTTTTTGGAACACGGATTGTGTTAATTAGATTTTGGAACAGAGGCCATGAAACTGCCATGGTTTTGGATGGTCTGGGGTGGAATGAGCAAAACCGCCCTCGTGAGAATCACTAGATGGCTTGGTTTAGTGGACTACCACACGCAAGTGCTGTAACGTCATGTCTTACCCTTATTTTCGTCATGGTGTCATTCAAGTGACATCTCCATGCATAGCAAAGAACTTTTTCACAGGGTCAATGTCTCTAAATAGTTCTTGGACTTGGAAAATGAAATCAAATCAACGTTGGAGTGGTCACTAATAAAATATAGCTTAGCCCCGATCAGAGTCAAACAGATATGTGAAGATTGAAGCCCCATAAAACAGCAGCAGAAGAAAAGCGACTTTGCTCCCAGTACAGACCCTTTGTTTGCAACTCTCTGTGACATTTAGGATGAAATGACGGATCATTATGTCCAGAACTATTAGAGTCGATGCCCAAAGAGTTCGTGCTCTACACAAGACCAATGGCTCAGAAGCAAAATAACAATGAGCACATTTAATGTTAAGTCCAAGTTTTGTATATTATTTGTGATTGCTCTATTTTCCGTGGGTTTTTTTAAACTATCGTGACAAAATACCAAAACAGAATATTGTATATTGCAATACAAAATTCTCCATTCATTGGATATGTAATGAATGTCCGTTCTATCAATATTGATGCTCCTCAATACACGCGCGAAGACAATTTTGCATTTCTTTGATTTCGTACAATTTTGCCAAGTCTGATTTTTTAAGGTCAGTTTTGAATGACCATATTTCGGGCGCCCCTTAATATAATAGAAATATTAAAAGTGTCAGATAATGCAGAATTGATTTAGCTTCAAATTGGTATGCCGCATGAGAGGTAATGCGAGGATATGGTGATTACATTTTCAAATTTCTTTTGGACGCCACTGTATTTATGCTGGTGACATACACCCAGGATGTCCATACGGTTAGTCAAATGAATCCATTACCCGGTTACTTTCTTGTCACAATTATTCAGTCACTCACTTAATACAGTATCTGGTTATTTAATTGATTCAGTCAACCATTCAAATCCTCGCCTGTTTACTCGCTTGATACAGTGACTCAATAAGTACAATACTCGATCATTACTCTCTCAATATGATTTTAGTTCAGTACCCGCCACTACCCGCTTACTTGAGTAAATAAACAGCTGATGCTTTAAAAAAATACGTGATAAACCCCAACCTATCTTCAAGAAAAAAAAGATAAATGGCGGTTAAGGAAGTAAGCATATAGAATAATAAAAGAATCAGCCCAGAATCACGACAAATAATAATATAGTTTATACAACTATATGGCCATAGTGCAGGTAACTGACACAATATCAGCTGACTGTTGCGTCCTGGCTTCTGTTGTGCATTCTCACCATCCCTTGGGAAACTCACCTACGAAATAGACCAGGACCCCAAATTCTTCTTTGGGGGGTTTGTTTGTTTGTTTATTTGTTGTTTGTATGTTGAGAGAGCTGTTTTGTTATTGTTTTTGTTTTGTTT